ATTCTTATATTATATTATATACACATTTATATTTTTTAATATTTTGTACATATAAATATACTGAAACAAACACACACACACACACACACACACACACGTATGTCTCAGTATTTAGTTTTTATATTATAAAATTATATTTTTATATATAATAATAATTCATATTATATTATTATAATATAAATGTGTATTTTAAAATATTATAATAGTATAACAAAGTATACGTGACCCTGGAGCACAAAACCAGTCTTGAGTCGCTGGGGTATATTAAAAACACATTGTATGGGTCAAAATTATCGATTTTTCTTTTATGCCAAAAATCAGTAAAAGTAAAGATCATGTTCCATGAAGATATTTTGTAAATTTGCTACAGTAAATATATCAAAACTTAATTTTTGATTAGTAATATGCATTGCTAAGAACTTCATTTGGACAACTTTAAAGGAGATTTTCTCAATATTTTGATTTAGATTTTTTTTGTACTCTCAGATTCCAGATTTTCAAATAGTTGTATCTCGGCCAAATATTGTCCTATCCTAACAAACTATATATCACGCTTATTTATTCAGCTTTCAGATGATGTGTGAATGTAAATTTCGAAAAATTGACACTTATGACTGGTTTTGTGGTCCAGGGTCACATATTTGTATTTTTATGTACTTAAATATTAAGTATTCATTCAGTATGTGTAAGAATTCATAGAAAATAGTTCAAATTAAAATGCACAAATTAAAGTGCTTATTAGCAGCCTGCTAATGTCAGACCGCTAATGTATTAAAATCCTCCTTGACCGATTGTCAGGTTTCTTGTGTGCAAATTGTGTGGAATGTCTGCTATATGTGACTATTAACTGAGCTGAATTCAAATCAGTTGCTTATTAAGTTTCCTTTTGGTTAGGATGCTGCCTATGTAGACAGTAGACAGTGAGACAGCTCACTAGTGTTAGGAACACAGCCCATGAAAAATATCTCAAGTTCAAATCACATATTTTTTTCAGTTTGTGTAGCATTTCAGTCTATAATGTAACCTCTGACAGATGAATAAGTATTGTTTTATCATAAACACACACAGAACGCTGACTGTGATGGGAGCATCTCCGGCGAGCTGAACCTGGGCGACCCAGAGAGCGGCTACCTGACACAGACCAACCTGCTGTCCATCTCCTTACGCATTAACCAAGAGTGGCAGAATATCGGCATCAACCTGGGCATCAGCTACGACCAGCTGGAACGCATCCGGAACCAGCACAGGTGAGCACCAGATCAGAGCCAGCAGATGGCGCTGTTAATGTCTGCTGAGAGGCCAACAGCACATTCAGTCTTTATTACAGGACTGATTTACTACAGATTTTACAGCACATGTGATCTCCAGATCCACTTAACAATTCCTGTGGCATTCAATGATGCAATCAGATTTCAACAGGGCAAGTAGCAACAGATTAGACGTAAATTGTATTATAAATTTTTCCACCAAAATAGGTCGTTACAGTATTCACATTTATTGCATCTTGTAACATTCGTTATTTCTGAATACTGACTCATTGAATGTTAATTACAGTCCAGGAATTATTATCAAGCCAGATCAGTATGACCTCATTCATTTTCAAGAGCTTTTAATAACAGAACCAAGAATCTTAAAGGGATAGTTCACCTTCAGTTGCTGGTCCCCATTGACTTGCATAGTATTTTTTTTTCCCATACTATGGAAGTCAATGGGGACCAGCAACTGAAGGTGAACTATCCCTTTAAGATCAGATTTTCCAGCACAGATGTGTTTGCGCTGGTGTAAAATCACTTGTAATTTCTGGGAAATGCTTACAGAGAGGGAGAGGCAGTGTGACAGGGAGTGATGGAGGACTGAAATTAAGACAGCAGTGGTTTTATGAGGGGAATCTGAGTGTTTTGTGTTAATGGCTCAGCCATCTGGGACACTGCAGGAGACGGTACACACTCACACGCATGCATGCACGCTCAGTTTGTCAAGCCCTCCACGTCCTGTTCTGTAGTCTGTTCGTCTTTTTGTCTTTAAACCCCAGTGTCTCTTAGTTCAAGTTACATCTCAATAAACGTGTTCTATTATTAAGGAGCAACATAGCAGACAAAACTGAATAAATTATGAAAAACTAAGTAAGTTCTGAAATGTTTCAATGAAATAAAAATACGAAAATGTCAGTCACAAAATGCATGTATTTATTTCAAGGACATTTCTGATCATTTTTCATTTTAAAGCATATTTTATGCCACATTTTATGTCATTTTTCATTTTACATTAATAATATTATGCCTTATTAATTTAGGCATGCATTTAATTTAAATTTTTATTTATTTAAGACATTTTATCCCCAATTCTCATTACTCTAATTCAGATTATTCTCTTTTACTATTCCCATTATTTTAGATGGGAATAATAATAGTAATAATAATAATATAAATGTTATTTTAGTATTTTTGAGATACTATTATAGTTATAATATTTTCAATTGGGGTTTATTTTCATATTTTATACTTTTTAATTTTAGCTAAACGTTGTAAAAATTTTGTTGCGTTTCTGTTTTTATTTTATATATATATATATATATATATATACGTATATACTATATATTTTATTAATTTTTATTTTCATTTTAGTTTTAGTTATTTTACTACATCAAAATGAGAAATGTTTCCTTGGCAACTATCTGAAAATTAGTTTAAGATTTGTATTTTATTTTATTTTGTATTTCTGTTATTGTTTATTTTATTTCAAGTAATGAAAATGCTTTTTATGATTTTAGTTTTAGTTAACGATAATGACCCTGATGAGAATGCAGTTTTTTTTTTTTTTTGGATTACATCAATACAATTGAGTTAAAGGTGTTATGAAATCAATTCAAAAATGTGATATTTAGACTCGTTTAATTTTATTTTTATTTATTTATTGCAACATTTCATTATATATTATTTATTATTTTTTGTTATTTATCTATTATTGATTTAATTATATAATATATTTAATTTAGTTAATTATATCTCTGTATACTTTAATTATGACAAAAATGTACAGTAATGGGAGACAGATCAGTTTAGTAACAGTAATAGTAAAAAAAATAAAAAATAAACTGGCATCTCCCTGTGTTTGTTTTGTCAGGGACAACTTTGGGGCCCAGGTATTGGCGATGCTCTTTCATTGGGCGAGAGGGCAACAGGGGGCGGGGCCAGGGGCGGTGCAACAGCTGATGAAAGCGCTGGTGGACAGTGGTAGGCGGGACTTGGCGGAGGAAGTAGAGGACATAGTGACTCTGGGGAAGAGGAAGTATGAAGAATCGCTAAAGAGAGTCGGACTGCAGACACCAGCGAGCTCTGCAGACCCTCAGTCCAGCTGACACACACTCACACCATTAGGATGATTGTGCTGCTGAGAGCGGCTGCCAACATCATGACATATAAACTCCCACCAGCAGCACTGCACACCAACACAGTGACACACATGGACATACAGTACAGAGTCTCATCTCACAGGACAGTCTCTGGGTCTCAGAGCAGCTGTCTGTCTGAATGATGTCTCCATTAGACGCCTGTCTCTCTCTCCTGTGCCTCTCGAACTCACAGTGTCCAGCAGATGTATTTTATTTGTAGTGAGACACAATGCTGCACATTTACACTGAGCCAAATGAGCCATGAGTATTTGTTACATGTTTTTTTTTAGTGTTTTAACCAAGAAACAATCAAAATGTTTTTTTTTTATGTATATGGTGAATCCCAAGCAGCCTCTCAAAAAGGGTCATATTTCATATTTTTGGTGTGTGTGTGTGTATATATAGTTAGACAGATAGATATATAATAATAATTAATTAAATATAACTTATTTATATTTAATTATTAAAATAAATATTACATATGAAATCATTGAAAAAAAATGGGCTTATATAACAATACAGTTGTACTTTAAAAAAATTTAAAATAATAAAGCAGTATATTAAATAGATACCATCATGAGATACACGTTGTGCAATTTAATAATAAAAATAAAACTGCATTCTCCATAAGAAAGTTTTACAGCTCATATAGTTTTACAATTCAAATTTAAAAATATATACCCGCGCACACATACCCATATGTAATTTTCATGGTTATGAGAATGCTGTGTTACTATATGTAAGATAGAAGTTGGGAGTAAAAGGTGCTTATTTGTCATGAAATTATGAAAAAAAAAAGTACAATGCAAAAATCCCAAGGGACATAAAAATAGGCTTGATCTTATCTTTATGCAAAATCAAAATCATTTTGTAGTGCAGTATGACCAGGACATGTTCTTGACAGATCTCGTGACGTTCATCCCAGCACAGCATTATGAACATCTGCACAATCCAAATTACATGATTAAATTATTAAATCAGTGATGTTCATTCTCCTGTTCTCTTTCCCAAAAGTGGGGAATATTCCTCGATCCAAAGGGCGCTCCATCCTTCCATGTGTTTTAACTCAAGGTCACCGTTGCGTCACGCCGATGACGTCAGTACGGTTTTTTTTTTTTTTACGCCGATGACGTCAGTACGCTTTTTTTTGGTTTGTTTACCTTTGCTTAAAAAGCAGAAAAAAATCTGACGGCGCCGTAACCGACAGCACGCGCCAGCAGGCGGCGACCGAAACACTGACTTTCTCCCGTCCTCTCCTCCTCCTCCTCCTCCTGTCGTGTCGTGCTTTTACTCCCTTCTTTTCCTCCAAACACACACGAACGCGAGTAACACCGGCAGCTTTAACTATTATCACACCGTCACCGGAGGAAGAACATCACATGAAGCCATAATAAACCCGGAGTAACGGGACAAAACTGCAGGATCCGGTATGTAACGCGGTTAAGCGATTATTCTTTGCCGAGCATTTGTATCATATTAATATTGACATTTGTTTTGCGTGAGGAAACTGTTAAAATGATCTGATCGGTCACCGTGGTAAAGATTATGTCAGTCAGCAGAATAAACAGAAATAACGGTACAGCGGTTCATATAATGTGATTCGGCGGATCGTTTCCCGTTATGTGGCAAAACACGATTCCCCATCGCGAGAAGGCGTCTAAAATCAACCGTGACGGATCAAACCGGCAAACGGTAATTAGCGCGTCTTTGACAGCTTCGTTCATTCTAACGGTCGCGTTCCGCGCGCGAACATCTGTTTCGCTTCATACAGCGGCACGCGTTCCGTCTGCGCGTTTCTGCACCGCCCCGTCCGTTAGTCAGTCGGGTTTGATCCCCGCGGGAATAACCGGCCCCATGGAATCCGACCCAGGGCCATTAAAGACGGACGTTATGTCTGTGAGGATCTGCAGCGGATCATCAGCAACATCAGGGCGCTGCGGCGCGCGCTCGTGAGCCTCTCGTGGATTTGAACGGTTTTCAAATCCACGAATATTTCATATATATTGTATATATAATATATATTTCTTCTCTCTTCTGCATATTCTAGCAGTTTGTTTTCCAGCGATTAAGTAATTGCGTCCTTGGACTAAAATCAAACAACCTTTACAAAAAAGTACTACAGAATCATGGTATTTTGGACACGTTACCCTGAAATACCATGTAAATGCCATAATACATGAATTTTAGTACCGTGGTGTATTTCAAAATACCATAGTATTAGCATTTTGAACACCATAGCAAGGTAATACCTTGTTTTTTTTATGCTGATACTCTGGAGTACCATGTAAATACCATGACATTGCATTATTACAATAATCATATACCATGGGATTTAAATGTTACTATATTCTGCTTCAAAGAATACTGTGGTACTGACACTGTACCATGCTTTAAAAACACGGTATACCATAGTGCTTTCTTTGTAGGTTGCTTCAAATCGTCAAGAAAGACTAATCTTTACCTTTACGATGTGTGTCTTTCAAGCACAATCTGGTCTCAGGTGAACTTTAGTGTAAGTTAAACGACCGCTGGCAGGGCAAAGGTGAACGATAACTAGTTAAGAAGAGCAGAACACCTTGCAGATAACAGATTTCTTGTAAGTTGTCCTTCAGTCATAGTCATATGAAGATTTTCCCGTACTGTCTCACTCAAATAATAGAATACATTTTAAAATAATTTAAATAATGTTGTTTCATTTTCACTGTGCCTATGTAATTTAATTTAAATACAACTCTGTGTTCACACACACACACACACACACACACACCCTTCTTTAAACTCTTACCGGCTTAATAGTGAGCAGAGTGAGAGAAAGAGAGAGTGAAACTACATACGGTCTGAACACACACACACACACACACACACACACTGGTGAGAGTACTGTACATCAGTTAAAATAAAATAATAAAATAAAAATAATAAAATAAAATATTTATATTTCATTTTATATATGTATGCATGTATGTATTTATTACCATTACCTTTTTTTCTCTCTTATGAAACTGATGCATTTTAGTGAATTCATTCATTTCGACTGTTCATTTCTATAAACCTGTTCAAGACTCAATTAACTGATCTTTTGATTCATCACTTAAAAATGTTTTTGCAGAAGCCATGCACAGAATAAAATGTATAAAATGCATAAAAATGTATCATGGTTTCCACAGAAATATGAAGCCGCACAACTGTTTTCAACACTGATAATAATAAGAAATATTTCTTGAGCAGCAAATCAGCAAATTAGAATGATTTCAACAAACAGGATCAACAAAACTGTTAACAGCATAATATTCCAAATAATATTAATTTTAACAATATTGTTCCCATCTCACAGATTTAGTCCTAAACAAAATAACTTCTGAAAGTCAAATGATTTACAAATGAGTTTAAGCAAACCATTAAAAATTAGACATTAAGATCCCTCTAATAACTGACTATAGTCTTTATGTTATTAATATTTGTCTGCTCCTGATGCATCTCAGTATCACTGTAATATTTGCTCACTGGGATGCTGATATTTATTTATCTGTGTTTGTTTTTTTCCTTACAGTAGCAGCTAAATGCAGTATATGGTTGTTCAATTTCACTCTCTGTCATGCGTGGTGATTAGAACCAAGCACAGCTGGACTATTCTGGGTTTGAAGCACAATGTAAAACCTCCTGAGATCAGACACACAGCGCTCAGACTGAAACCATGACAACAGGCCTGCCGAGACCCAGATGAGACGGTACGACAGATAGAAATACTGTAAATAAATGGAGCCGCTACAACATCTGTTATCAGAGTCAGATGAATGACGGGTGCGGTTTGGTCAGAGGTGCATTCAGGAACCGTCAACAGCTGGAAAAACCAGGTCACAGCAGCTTAAAGGAATAATTCATTATTATTCAGCAAGGATGCATTCAACTGATCACATATCATAATTTCCACAAAAACATTAGTCAGTACAACTCAACATTGATGATAATCAGAAATGTTTCTTGAGCAGCAAAGCAGCATATTAGAATGATTTCTGAAGGATCATGTGACACTGAAGACTAGAGTAATGATGCTGAAAATTCAGCTTTGCATCACAGAAATAAATTACTTTTTAAAATACATTCAAATAGAAAACAGTTATTTTAGACTGTAATAATATTTCACATTATTACCTTTTTTTACTGTATTTTTGATCAAATAAATGCAGCCTTGGTGAGCAGAAGAGACTTATTTCAAAAACATTACAAATTCTTAACAACCTGAAACTTGACAACAGTAGTGTATATATTTTCAGAATCAAATAGTGTATTTTTATGACTTTAGGAGGTTCAGAATGTAATTTTATGGTGTGTTTTTTTGTAGAGCTTTATAATATAAATCAGTATCATTTTTATTCTATGGACAAGAAATGTTCTTCTAAACTCCTATGGAATGACATGAGGGATGACTTTCCATTTTAGGCTGTTTTTAAGAGCTTGTTTCTTTACAAGCTCTAACTATCTTAAAGGGGTCATATGATGCTGCTAAAAAGAACATTATGTTGTGTATTTGGTGTAATGCAATGTGTTTATGCGGTTTAAGGTTCAAAAAACACATTATTTTCCACATAATGTACATTATTGTTGCTCCCACATGCAACCACATGTGACGACCCCGGGCTGGACTCCGCTTCATCCACGGTGAAAGCTGATCCGGTGATCCACAGCGCGAAGTTGTAGTATTTCCTCAGCGACCAGCACGGATCAGCTTCTTAACTTTTATAAAGAATATCTCTTTGGATTTGAGACTTTAGTCTTTGCAACTTTACAGATCTTCTTTATGCACCAAGAGCTTGTAACACTCCAAAGAGAAAGGAAAAATTGAAATCGCTTCATATGACTCCTTTAACCGAGATGATCAACCAGGTTGAAACCATTGGTAGATCAGCTGATGATCATAAATTTCAGACTAGAATTATTTTCCAGCAGGGCTTTTCCAGAAAGAAACGGTGGCGTGTCCAGAATGACTGATTGTGAAGTTCTTGGCTTCAGCAGCTGCTTGTGATCTCAGGTCGGCTTCACCTACTTTCTTCTCCTCCTCCTCTCCCTCCGTCTTTTCTCTCCTCCCACCCAGCTGTCTCCCATTACAGCTCCCTCTTCTCTCTCTCTTTACACTCCTCCATCCTCACTGATTCTTGCATCCCTCCATTTGGCAAAAAAACAATCGTGTCTTAGGACATCAATGTGTCGTCACGAGCCGTAGGGTTTAATTTGGATTTGTCTGTGCATGTTTTTTTTACTCTCATAGATTTTGTTACCATTGCCATGCATTATAAGATTGATAGACTGCAACGGTTGGACTTAAAAATCATAATTTGTGTTCTACTGAAGAAACAAAGTCACCTACATCTTGGATGCCCTGGGGGTAAGCAGATAAACATCAAATTTT